GACATAATCAATGAGCAGCATTCATTTGTAGTTAGTACTAATTTTGATGATGTTATACTTGTACATCCTTGACCCCTCTCGTCAATCAACATGGATCGCTAAACTATGAGCACATCCAGGGTTTTTTACAGACCAGAGATTCAATGAGGAATTAAACAGTATTTCAAACTGTTGTTTGACAGGCTTGCCTTCCACATGTAAAGTAGTAGTACAAAGTACCTGTTTGGGTCTGAATTACAATGTGACAGTTTTATAACAGTATTAATTTTAAGGTGGTCTCCAGTACTTTACATCATTGCCACATAGTAAGCAACCACCAGAGAGCATCACACAAGATTCACTGGTCTTTGACGCCTACTCCAAAAAGAGGCAACACAAACAACCTGTCGTGCCAGAGACTTCTTTGGCTCCTCCTGCCAATTCTTCCAGTTAACTTCAAACCAAGCTCAGTCAATACTTTTAATTCCAGTGAAACAAACCCCTGGTCACACTTCCACTAACACTCCTCGGAGGGAAGTGCCGCCCCTCGGAGCAGCTAGGAGTATTCTTTCTAACGAAAGCTATGGTTCTGGCCATATAGTGCCTCTTCTAGCTCATGAGGTTAAATATAATATTAAGATTTTTTTTTTAATTTTAAGGTGGTCTATGTGTGGAACAATAGCCTTTATTCCAACCACCACGGGCACCAAACTGTCAATTAGTTCCACCTGGAACAAAAGAAACATCAAAGGATATTCTATTTTGGAGTACTTCCAAGCTGTTTTTTGAGCTCACTTTTTTCTTTTGAGAATTTGGATTGGCAAAACAAAATCAATTTCTGGACAGTTGTTATAAACATGGAATATAGTTGAAATCAAAATTGATTCCAAGAACAGATTTCTCGTAGGTTCTTGTTGATGATGGAAACTGTTTTGAGAATTGTTTTGAGAATTCAAATTGTTGAAATGAAATTGATTTTTGGACTCTGTTATTAACACGAAAAAAAAATCGAACTGGATTTGATGAACAGATTTGTCAAACAAATTTCTCAAACGCATCTTACACTTCAGCAACTTCACCAACTACAGGAGGATCAGCATCAACTAATCCTTTCACTCCCTCCAGTACCTCAATAGGCATATTAGAAGCAACTCTCTCTTCTTCAGTCAAGCTTACAATGAAGGATAGTGCTTGGTTCTTCAATCTCTCTCTCTCCCCCTTCCATATGCAGTCTCCCTGATAGTTATCTCATCTTCATTCAGTTTCTTTAGCAAAGACTCATCAGCATCAGTCCAAGAAGCTGATGGAGGAGTGGGATCATTTTTCACCTTCATCCACATATCTAACAGCTTGTCTTTCTTTGCAGGAATTTTCTTTTGCTGCTTCCACTGGTGGCACAAAACCTTCAGAGTAGAAACTGGGAGTGACTTTGCATCTTCCTCCTTCTTAACATCTTTTCCATTTGAAGCAAACCAAGAGCTTTCCTGCTCAAAGCTTCTGCTGCTTTTGCAACCTTCTTCTTTGCTTCAAAGCGTTTAATCTCATCCATCTGTCTGGTTCTTTCCTTGGCAATAAAATACTCCTTTGTGTTCAGTGTATCTCCACCAGTTTTGATGAAGTGCTGGCTAGAATATTTAATGCCTGCAATTGCATCTTGCTAAGCCCTTGCAAATTTTGGAAAAACTTCCCTGTTAAAACCAGCATTGTTCAATACTTTAATTGCTGCGGAATTCTTTTTCTTGTGTGCTACCAGTGCAGCTACGTTGGGATTGGTTGCTAAATCAATGGACCCACCCAGCAAAAGGATCAGTTTGTGTTGCACTTTTTTGTCCTGTAGGCATTTGTGGGTGAATGATGAAATTCCAATTATTCTCCATGTGTCTTTGCATTGGTATATCAAAAAAGTCTCATCAAAAGCAAAATCCAAAGCCACGTTTTCATTCCAGCCATTGTGCTTGCCAAAAACTAAAAGCAGATAATCTGACTGTCAAAGATTATCATTTTTCATCCAGCAGTAGTGTGCAACTTATTCCATTTTTTTGGTACAGGATTTGCAACATGTGTGTCCGTAAGTGTATTAAACCAAGTATTAATGCTATTATACATAGTCTACTTCAATCTACACTCTTCAATTTTTGTTTCACTTTTGGCAACTTTCAAGTGTTCTGCAAACATTGGGAGTAAACGTTGGTAGAGACTCACAAAATTGTTTAGCAGACATGGACCTGGTAAAAGACATGCTTTCAACATTGAAATGAAACCTTCACATTAGGGAATGTCTCCTTTTCCTCACATGCTACCTAAAGCAACAAACAATGAAACTGCGTCAGCTAGTGCTGCTTTGATTGCTGGTGGTAGCAAACTTTTCTGGCCACACCCTGATGGCCTGAGGCCTTCCTTCAAATATCATTTGACAGTGTTTGTCTTCAATGATGTCTTGTAAAGCAAATTCACTTGAGACATGATGCTCACAACAGATGAACAGGAGTTTGGTGGCAAATTTTCTTGCTCATACCTGACTTTCTTGGCTGCTGCTTCATACACATCATTGTGAGCTCATTTCTCAAGAAACTTGTTTACCATCTTGATATGAGCTTGTTTAGTAGGAATATCAGGACCCTTGTCTGTAGTTGTGGAGCTAGTGAGCCCACCTCCTTAGTAGTAGTAGCATCATCCTTCCTTGCTATTGCTGCAGGGGGGGGGGGGGGGGGGTTGATGATAACAGATAATTTTGTTACCAAGTCTTCAACAGTTAGGCAGATATTTTTGCCAGCTCCTCCAAGTTGATGAATGCAGCAGGACTTTCCTTGGAAGAGGTTAGACATGATAGATCTCCTCCTTCACCATTAGTACAATCAAGGGAGTTTGGAGGGCCCAGAGGTCCCTTAACCATTCTTTCCATGCATAGCTGTTCTCTTCTTCTTTGTAAACCCTTGTTGCTGGCTTCTTTGTCACTAAAATGAGCAAATAACATAGCTCTCCTCACAGAGCACTGGAGGCCTCTAGACCTTGATCCAAACAAGTTCTCAGCAGCCAGTGTTGTTCTTTCACACACTGTGACAGCGCATCCTGTGTGCACTGATCCAACTGCAATTGTGTCCCTTACTGTTGCTGGCAGCTGCATCTTTATTGTTGTTGTTGTTGTTGTTGTTGTTCATCTTGGTCATCTTGGTACCAAAATACAGCAAAAAACTGTTTTTTTCCAAAATACTTGGCCGATTGATCCGAAACTTCCGGATCCCCTTGTTCCCCTGGTTATAATAAATCAATCTGGTGCACTGGTTGTCTTGATGATAGAATTGATGTCTTTGTTTTGCTGGTTACACTGCAGCTTCTTTTTTGCTATTTCAATGATGACTTTTGCTGCTGACATTATAATGCTGTTCCTCCAAAACCACTCGGTCAATCTATCAGCAACTTCCAGATCCTCTTCCCCTTAATGTAAGGATTAGAACACTTGTCTTGTGAGCGCGATTGGTTGGATATTGATGAAGAACTTGAGAGGTGACAGCTTGCTATAATGAGGTTGTGTTAAAGAGTTTTTTTCTAAATTTCCGTGCACAGAGAAATCAACAAGCCCAAAAAGGTTGTCTGGCAAGAAACATGTAGTAGTACAATATGCACATGTATCGGAAGACAAGAGAACACCCTTTCCAACTGACAGATTCTCTAATTCTGATTGGTGCTTTTGATAGCATGAAGAAACAAGCAAAGATAGCAAAAAACTAAAAACTGGCATGTTTTATGTACTCATAATCTGTTAGAAATCAATAGTCTTAATTCAAACTCAAACAAGTACTGTATGTGATAATCCCTATCCTTAATCCATAACTCTTAAGTCTTGGCATTCTTCCCAATACCGCCTCTAGCACATAACGATGGCTCAGTGTTTCACCATATCGATTATTCGAACTTGTGTTGACGACACTAAAGAAAATCACCAGCTAGAACCAAGCCTTCAAAAGAAGAAAAACTATGGACATCCTTCAAAGAGAAATGAAACGTAAGAAGGAGGCTCTCCTCAAAGCAAAGAAAGAGGCAGATGCTTCTTCTGAAACTTCCAGCGCCGGTGATGGGAGGAAGAAGCGCAAATACTTGAAAGTTTCCGATCTTCGTAGGATCGAGGACGAAGAGCAAGAAGAGAAAGAGAAAATGCGCTGGGACCGGAACACCAATTCAAATAGGAAGGCTGTGTCGATATCATCGGCATCGAAGGAAACAGACGATGACGATGCAATCAGTCAAGCACGAATGAAATTTAAGAATGCAAAGAAAGGCAAGTCATCGACAACCTCTTCGCCATCTTCATCACCTGCGGCGACGGTCAGAGACAAGATCGATTCTTCACCAGCTTCTATAACGCAGAAACTTCGCGAAATGGGTCTTATCGTACGATACTTTGGAGAAGGAAACACGGCTCGTTTGGAACGACTGAAAAATGCCCTTGAGTATCAATCCAAAACTTTAGAGGGTCTATCGGAACTGGAGGAATTTCGACTTGGAAAGGGTCATGGAATTCGTAATCCCTTCTTGGAAAATGAGAAGCAGTTTAAGAATAATCAGCATCAAATGCCGGGCATGGGGATCAATGACAAAGGATCACTCGAAAACTCGAGACTGGAAAGAAAAAAACAAGGCAAGGGGAAACATGCGACAAAATCCGATGTAGATGGCGAGAACGAGGAAGATCAATCAGATCCTCCAAAGTTCATATACAAGTACCTGAAAGGTTTATTGAAAGAATGGGAGGTCGAGTTGGCAGAAAGAGCCGAGTCTGTAGCGAGATCTGTGGCGGGTAGGAACGAATCAAAGACTCTGAAGCAATGCAAGGACTATATCCGACCACTTTTCAAACTATTGAAGAGCAGAAAACTGGAAGAAGGACTGCAGTTACATTTGCTGAAAATTGTCAAGTTTGCCAAACAAGGGGAATTTGTCAAGGCGCACGATTCCTATATTGATGTTGCGATTGGGAGAGCTGCCTGGCCTATCGGAGTTACCATGGTCGGTATTCACGCTCGCAGTGGACGTGCTAAAATCGAGTCTGCGAATGTTGCACACGTCATGAACAGTGAGCTCCAACGCAAATATCTCACGTCTGTAAAGCGTCTTTTGACTTTTGATCAAAACAGACGAACGGACGTTGATCCCTCCAAAAAGGTGAGGTGATAAAAATCATCACCTCCGGATTTACGAGGCAAAACATCTGGTCATATTACCGTCATATTACCCTTTCGTCTTCATCTCATCGCACGAGATAGGTAGTTTTGAGCTTACAATCCAAAAAAAGGCAGATTAATTGTTCAAGCATTTGTTTTTGTCTTCTGAAATATTGTTGTGGAGAGAGAAAGTTTACTATGAATAATGCGAATCTGTTTTGCCATCTACGTTCTAAGCATGTCTTGTCAAGTATCAAATCATCGTGAAGTAAAATTTCGTCATACCTGAAGTTCAATTGTACGAAGTTTGTTGAAGTTGAAACTGCTACAGCCAGTACAAAAGCTTGACTTATGGTATCCGTACATAAATATCATGATTATACTACTGCTCAACGCCATTTACTAGCAACACTCTTCTCAAACTTGTCATCGGCATCTCCCAACAAGTTGAGCAACAGAGAATCGGCATTCAAGTACACCTTATTGCCCGACTTTGCTACGATGTCGGCAATGTCACGGGCCGCATCGATTCGTCGCAGTTTCATGAATCCAGGATTCTTCTTGACAGCCAAACCAATGAGCTCGGCGGATTCGGCTTCTCCCCTTGCTCGGGTGATGATAGTCTTCTTTTCCTGCTGAGCTCCCAAGACGACGTACTTTGCCTTTTCAGCATCTTGTTGGGCTGTGTGCGGAACAGAATAAGCGTAAAAAAGTAAGAACGCAATATTAACACGTGAGAAAGATAAGTTTCTGGTCGTTGCAAAGCAAACATTTCTTTTCTCCGCAAATGCAAATTGCAGAAACTCTAATGTCTTTTTCTCGTCCAATATCGTCCAGAATTGTATTCCATTCAATAATGTGATTCGCGCAAATCAACTTACCAACCTGCTTGGCCTCAACAGCACGAGCATATTCGGGGGAGAAACTCAAGTGCGTAATCGCCACATCGTCCAATATAACATTGAATTTGGCGGCACGTCTCTGCAAGTCCATGGAAACTTCCCTCGATACTATTTCACGCTTGGTCAACAATTCATTGGCATTATATCTCGCCACGATTGCCTTCGCCGATTCGTTCATGATACTGGGCAGGATTCGTTCGTCGTAGTTGGTTCCCAGCATTCGGTAGATCCAAACGAGTTTGCTTGGATTGGGTTTGTGCAAAACACGAACAGCAATAGTAACCATCTGCAAATCCTTCGATCCGGTCAAGGTCTGCAAATTGACGGGGCGTGTTCGAATATCATAGATTACGGGGCGCTCAAACCAGGGAATGTTAAAGTTCAAACCCTCGCCGTAAATGGAGTCCTTCATACCCAAGACGCGGTTGAATATCACGGCGCGGTGACCTCCGGGAACGGTGTAAACAGAGTTGTAGGTACCGTAAGCCAATCCACCAGCAACAGCAAGCGCCGTTACACTTTGGGCGGCGGCGGCAGCGGCACGGCCACCTCCTCCGCCACCCGAACCACCTCCAGATGCTTGGCTGACGCGTTTGGCCGCACTAGCAAATGCGTCTTTTAATCGTTGAGCCATATTTGATTGTTCAAGTTAGCTTCAGCTAGAATGCTCGTTAAGTCAGTATTTGGTGGTTTGGTGGGATTCCTTTGTTTCGACAGACTCAAGCCGTTTTTAGACTTGTTTCAGAATGGCTACGGTAGATTTCCGTTGCGGGGAAGGATGGATCTGGATTGGGGATGCAGTCAGCAAAAATTGATGAACAAGATTGAAAAAAATCGATGTGACTCTTTTTTCTGGTGTTCGATTGTTCTCGATGGTAGTGCAGTAAATGTGCATTGTGATAAATTTTTTGGAGCGTGTACAGATCTCTATGTTTTGGAAATACGACTTGATAATCTATTTTCCCATAGGTTGATTGCCCTTTGCATTCCAATGGGTAATGAGCCATAAAACATCTGTTTCTACTTTTTGAGCGGATTTCTCTCCTCTCGAATCAGTCAATCAGTGCGACACGACGGAGCGGAAACATTTTTTGATTGCAGGGCCCGAACAATTAAATCGATACCCGTATTGGTTCGTACCGTACCGTACCGCACGTAATAGAAGTATTATTAGAATTACCTACGGTACCATTTTCTTCACAAACGAACAGAGATCCATACCGAACGGTACACCTTCTGGGGTTTCCCCCTCGTGATTGTTGCTATTCATTGGTTCGCCTTTAACATCCGCGTGCCGAGTTTGCAATACCATGGACGGGAGACACAGCCACTACGATGTACTGAGCGTGTCCAGAGATGCTACATACGACGAAATCAAAGAGTCCTTTCATCGATTAGCTCGAGCGAAGCACCCAGACAAGCAAAACAGGCAAATTTTAGAAAAAAACAACGATTTCGACAGGCATGGCAGCGGTGACTGTAGTGCAATCGATGCCGAAAATTCTGCAGCCGAATTTCGAAGGATTCAACAAGCATGGAAGGTCTTGAGAGATCCCGAGGAACGAAGTGTCTACGACTCTGATTTGCTTCACAAGGACTTACAAGAGAAAAACAGACAAAATGGCGCCATTGTGCTCAGCTATCACGACGACTTAGAAGAGGCCATAGACGAGGACACAAACGAGTCATTCATGGTATACGATTGTCGATGTGGGGAAGAGATTCACATCGAAGAAACGTGCCCACCATGCGAGTTTGATGGAAATACTGCAGAAGCAACTTGCAGACAAGGTGTTGACGACCATATTTTGATAGATTGCCCTGGATGTTGCTTTGTTTATAAAATAGTTGGCAAGTAAACAAGTCGCAAACTATGAGGTAGAAAAATGTCACGGCTCTTTTGCCTGGAGTGCTCCCGTTTCTTCACGAATATGACACGAGACAGAAGAGTCAGTTTTTCTCCTCTTTTGGTCGGACAAAAGCTTTGTCCAGCACGAAATAATGGTTAAGCAGCTCAATTCCATTCAGCAATAAGAACGGCTTTTCTCTCCCCAGTTGTTTTGCGAGATGCAACAAGAATGACAGAAGCAGCATCGTCGTCTCGCATGTTATCCCCATAAGCATACGATTCCAAAACGTCTCCCAAGTAGACTTCGGCCAAGTATTGAACGGACAGGTAGCTACCCGGAAAATTCGCTGATGTAGACAAAGCATGAAACGAAGTTTCTGCCAAGAAAGCATGATCTGCATGGTTGCCGAAATTGATGTTCTGAGGACCCACAACAACTCTAGTTTTGGAAGCTTCTTCAGGGGTCGGCGATGCTTCCAATCCATTAATTATAGTTTTGAGACGGGTGGACTGCAAGTCTGGTCTCTTCACTTCGATCAGATCTTTTATTTTTTTTGCATCACTACTTTCGTAGTTTTCACCGATGTCCAACGCTTCGAAACCAAACCGAGAAACAAATGCTTGCTTTTCTGTGTCGGAAAATGGAGCCGACTTGAGTTCTTGTTCCTCTGCGCCGCCAACCGGATCCGCCATTCTGACAAAAACTCGTCGAACCACGGCAAGGACATCACGACCAATGGATATTGCCCCGCCGAACTGAATGGACGATTTCCCGATCGAGTCCTTGTCCACCCAAACGTCGCAGTGGCATTCGTCATCGCCGTTTAAAACACGGTTCAACAACGGCGGTGTGGTGCGTGTTTGCGCATTGTAGCATTGAACTGCTTGACTGACACAGAACCAAGCATGCTCGTATATGTTGTTTGATGTACCTGTATCATCGGGATGACAACCTACCCGTGGAATGATATTCGAGGAATGCAGGTGGTGATCGCAAATCCGGAGGGCAGCGGCGGGAAACAGTTGTTGTTCGCTATTCGATTTATGAAAAATGTCGGTTGTTGCCCGAATGGTGGTGACTCTCATACGCGTGCAAATTGGAGCTTTAGATATCATCATGGAAGAAAAACGCGGCATAGGTTATTATCGTTCGAAAGATACCGGTATGTTTGGCCTTCCACTTCGTTACGACGATGCGTATCAAAATTCTCTGGTGAGGCTAACGCTGACGTTAAAGCAGGTGTGTGTGCCTCGAAAATCATAGGGTACGAGTACTTTACCGCGGTGGAGTCTTGCGTCTTGATACTTGCTGTATGGTGCTTTACTTCTACTTATCGTACGTAGAAAACTTCTAATAAAGTAAAGTACGGAGTAATTTAGACCCCAGATTTTACTTCTCGATGTGATGCCATTCGTGACTCGACTCGATCCACGTGCTTTCTCAACCAACCTCCAAACCCATTCTGTGTCATTCATTGCGCAAGGCACGGGAGGTAGTACGTACGTAACCCTACTGAACACCATCCATCGCAACAAAAAATCAATTTCGGAGCTCAGTTGATGTGTTGATGTGGAAAATACTTCGCTTTTTGATCTTCGCAGTACCTACGACTACTATTATGTACGTAGTACTGTATGTAGTACTGTAAAACTTTAGTTCCTTGCTAATAATCGAGTCGCAGTACGACATTGGATACAATGAAAGCAACCGAATATTATCAGGGTAAAGTTCGGCGTCCGATTTACAATGAAGGTAGTGCAGAGAAACTGTTGCACGGCAACTTTGCTGGTAGGTTTTATTTTGAAAATTGCCGTCGCATTTGTTCCTCCAATCGGAACGACAAAGACAGCATTCCGTACCATCAGCAATGGAACAAGTTTATATCAAGCGGGGAAAGGCGGAGGAAATAACAACGGAACAGGAAAAAAATCATTTCAGAAGAAGAAGATGAAGTTGACGACGATAGGTGACTTACAGAAGGAACTATTGAAGAATCCACAATATGGTAGACCGAATGAGCAGAAACAGAACAAACGGAAAAAGAATAGACGCACAAGGCAACGAGTCGATGATCCAAAACAGAAATACGTGTATGCTTCGCAACGAAGAGCAGCCAATGCGGTCGAAGGGCACGACCTAGAAAATAAAGCCAACGTACAAAATATTCCTATTCTTGAGGCAAAGAAGATGGGACTAACGAGTCCTGCAAATCAACATTGTGACGCATTGGTAAATGCTCTCGAGCCAGAAATTATGGGTCAAATTAGGGTTGAAGATGATGGAAGTGGAAATGGAGCAAGTGGTGCATACGCGTATTTGATCAATAAGCCTGCCGGTTGGTCTATTTTAGGCGAAAAACAAAAGACCAAAAAGAAGCAACAGCTGACCAATGCTGACCGATCAACATTCGATGGTGCGAAAAGGAACAAAAGTGGTTCAAAGAAATTATCGAAGACGCGAGTCAAGATAAAGGGAGAAGATAACGACGTTATTGAATTCGATGAATCTGAAATAATGGCCTTGTTAACGCCTGAAGAAAGGGCTATGGTAGAGGCGGAGAGTGCAACTGATGGTAATACTAGATTTGACATTCCCGGATGGTACGACATCGAATCAATGACAAGCTTGGAACGTGAAGAGGCTGGGATTGAAGATGAAGATTATGATCCAAGTGACATCCCAGACTTTGATGAGGCAGATATTATTGCACTGTTATCTAAAGAAGAACGTGAAGAATACGAAGCAGATAAACTTGAACAGAAAAAGCAAAACAGTAAAGGGAAAAAGGGGACCAAGGGCGCCGATATGCAGTCAAAATACAAATCAATGACCGAAGAGGATGTTGATGAATCCGCAGTAGAAAATCTGAAAAGAATAAAGGCACGATTGACATCCACTAAAGATGGAAGTGATGCTGGCAGCTTCTCTTCATTTCAGAGACCTTCACTCGTTTCGTGGCTCAAAGATAAGAAAACTGCTGAAGGAAACCCAATTCGAGGCGGTAACTTTTGGACTGCTCTAGCAGGTGCAACCGATGTCGATGATTCTGGTCTTGTATTGCTTTGTCCAAAAAAGAACACAGATAATCTCATTGTTGAATACTCTGAGTACGTAGCTGTTGTTGGAAATGGAAAATTTCTCGCTCCACAAGCAAAGAAACAAGCGAAAGAAATCCCGGACGATGCCATTCAATTAGATATGATTTCGAGACTTCGGAAAAATAGGGAAGGCGATGTTTGTCAGACAGTACGATTCATCATCTCGGAGCATTTTTCCACGTGCTCGAGTGTTGTTAATCGTGCTCAAATGCAATTTGAAGATGGTATTCGTGGAGATCCTGGTGCTAATCCGTTTGATCGCAGAGCTCCAAGACGACTTATTCACTGTAATTCGATGTCTATTTCGAGCTTGACATTTGATGAAACCTCAGAGGCCGAGACTGGTAGTCTGCCTGATGATATTGCGATCCTTTCCAATCGTCTAAATGGCCACAAATACCAGAGAGGATCTTTTTTGGGTCGTCAATCTCTACGTGCCAATCCTCTCACAACTGCATACAGAGAAATAAATGGAGCTGCCGATGGCTTCCCTGGTTGGACGGTTGATAGATACGGCGATTGGCTTTTTGTACAGCATGACGAGAAGGAACCTCGTGGTCCCTTACCATCGATTCATGATGGAAATACTGCAGGAGTGTACTTCCTTCCTGCCAACCAAGATCGTGGTGCCATGGGATCGAGGGACAAAATTAGACCTTTATTGCTTGAAGGTCGAGCAGCTCCTGAAATTGTTCCCATCTTGGAGAACGGCGTGACTTACCATGTGTCACTTGACAAAGATCTTTCTACCGGAATATTCTTGGATCAAAGAATGAATCGCGCTTGGCTCACTCGCAACTGCAATGAAAACACGCACGTATTGAATTGTTTCGCACACTGTGGTGCCTTTAGTATTGCCGCAGCTTCAGCAGGTGCATCTACTGTTAGCCTTGACCTCGAAAAGAAATGGCTGAACCGAGTCGAACCTCAGCTTGAAGCCAATGGTGTCACCTTCAACGAGCGCCATGACTGTATTTTTGGTGACTGTTTTGAGTGGCTTGAAAAATTTTGTAAGAGAGGTGAGAAATTCGATATTGTTATATTGGACCCTCCAAGTTCGAGTGTAGGGAAAAAGAAAAAGCGCTGGAGTGTCAATAGAGATATGGCCGAACTTGTTCAATTGGCTGCCCCATTGGTGAAAAAGGGAGGATTGCTGTGGACAACGACGAATAGTGCAAGTCTCCATCCAATTAAGTTCGCTAATCTCTGCGAAAAAGGGTTCGAACAAGCGGGTATTGAGACAAAACTTGAGCGCACCCAACCCATGTCGGTTGACTTTCCTTCGATCGGCGCTCCACCAGTCAAAAATCTAGCTTGGAGAGTAAAGTAAAGTACGAAAACAATTGTCCGCAGCACCGAACTCAATCGTTACTAAAACAACTTTAACATTATAATTAACCTCGCGAACTAGAAGAGGCGCTCGAGTGACATGAACCATCGCGTTTGTGAAGAAGGATGCTTGTGGTTGCTACGTGCGGCGGCACCTCAGAACTCCATCAGAAACATTATTTGTAGTGCTTTTAGTTTGTGACCTTACTTTTTCGCAATAGCTTTCAGTGAACATTTTACCGTGCGCAAGGTTGAATCGAACAACTACGGCGCTAGCCGTCTACAGGTTTGAAGCCTGCACCCACCACCAGGCAGGATCATGCACACAAAAAGACCTATACACAG